GGCGCGCTCGCAGTAGCAAGAAGCAGACGCGCCAGGTTGCTTGCGACGCGTGAATGTAGCTTAACCTCCACAGATTAACAAACCGTCGAGCAGCCACGCGAAAAGTCCTATACCTACATAGAGAAAAAAAAGGAGGTATTTGCATCTTGAGGTTTGTTTACCCTGTGACGTAGGTCTGTACAACCTGGCCAGCGAAATCCGAAATTCGAACTATGAAAAATTGACCATAATTTCCGATTTTCCGAGGTGTAAAATACACAACTCAGCAGAAGAAAGAAAGAAAAATCGATTCGATATTTCTGGAGATAAATGTATCGATATGGACGATATATAAACGTTGAAATATCGATACAATATTTTGGTCTAAAATATCGATAGTCTGGTGGCGCGGAGCGTCTTCGAGGGGTTGGGCCGCGTAGTGGCCAGTCGCTAGACGATAGAATAATCGCACCCGAAGCCCGAACCCAAATTGAGCCTCATTCGAGCGGGTCTCAAAGCGAGGCCCAAGGCTGCAATCGCGGCCTCACAGCGGCCCGCGGCGGGGGGCGGCGGGGCTAGGCTAGCGGCCACCGACCCTCGGAAAAGTCGTAAAAACGAATGACTCAAGTTCACACGTGCAGGGCTCGGAGCATTGCAGCCAAATTGGTCTGTTTGTTATTCAGGGATAGTGTCCTAGCATAGGTTTATTTAAAAAACAATTAAATAAGAGGAAGGATTTCAACCCTGAACAATGAGACCACCGACAGCCTGCATGTGACCCCGGGATCACAGTCAGTCCCCCGTCAGTTTTGGTGAGCATAGTTACTGAGATGGACCATTTTTTTTAGGGAGCGAACAAATCAAAATTTTGAGCCTTAAGTTGGTCGCAACCATATCCGGAAGTCGTTACAGTGACATTTTTGTGCAGTATGCTTCTGTGGAAAGTGCAACACTTAATGAATACTTTTGACAAATCGTGTTTTATCCGGTTTGCGCTTCAAACGTGATTTCTTTGTGGAGTGTCATACGTTCCTTTTTGAATTGAAAAACTCGTCAGATGCATTGGGTAATGGAGTAAGGCATCTCTCATTTCTTAACGCAGGGGGCGGCAAATTTTGCATTTTTTTAAAATGTAGGTTTAAAAAAAATCGGATTCAGAAAAAAAAAATTACAAACGAGAAAGCGTCTTTCGGTGACACAAGAGACAGCACCTTTAATTAGTCGAGTTAAGAGAGAAACTAAACACGCAATTTGGCATGGAGCGGTGCAGCAGTGATGATGAGGACTTGAGATAAAAAGGAGAAGCCCTCAGCGCGGCGCACGGTGAATCGAGTCAATGAGAGAGGTCGGAAAAAATTTGGGAACTTAAAACGCTCATAACTCCGTTTATACAAGAACCTAATGTTCTACAAGCTGTTCCACTGGTTTTCTCGTGATATTTTCTTCCAGTATCACCCCTTGAACTTTAAAATGTGACGAAATAAACATCAACATTTGCAGATTTTGTCAAAAATTTCATGTCCAACCCCTCTAATTGACTCAATCCACTGTGCGGCGGTCGGCGTGAAACGCATAACGCCTACAAGACTGTACGAATACTTCACGCATTGTGCCAAACACAGTGCGGTCAGCGCGGCGCGCCGGCGGAAGTTAAAATTATTAAACCACACTTATGTTTGTTCTTGCATAATTTTTACCTTCATTTCTTACAAATGGAAGGCCTTGTTCACACATAGATAGGTTTACGGAACTTAACTTTCGCGCAAAGTTCCGTGCGAACTTTTGCTAGTAGTGAGGGGCATAGTGTCCTTTCTTTTAATTTTTCTTGTTTTGCCGGTTGAAAATGCGGGTGTGATCCCTGCGAAACGTCCCGGGTTTCTTATTATATTTTATGTGTTTCTTTTTTATTATTTGCGGCCTTAGTCCCGTTTTAAGTTGTTTCTCTGTTACTGTTTCGGGCCGATTAAGTTGTTTTTTATTGATGTTTCGAAACGAATGAGAAGGGGGCGGCAAAATACAGGTGGCCCATAGGCAGCAAGTAGGTAAATCCGGCCCATGGGCGGCAAGTAGGTAAATCCAGCCCTGTTTTTTAAATGAATTTTGAGTCAAATTTACGTGAGAAATTGATTTACCAAGATTATTTTTCTTAATTAAAATTAACTTTCTTTTTAATACAGTTTTTACGTCAATACATTTGTTCGTAATTTCCAATACTTTTTACGAAATTTTTATGTTAATTTAATTATTATGTAAATTTGACTTCCTTTTCCGAATTTTTTCTTTTTTCGCGTTTTTCTGTGACTTTTAACAATTTTAGACTTTCTTTCCTTACTCTAGTAAGGATCTAGTCGTCAGAATCTATCCTGAACGACAACTTACATTCATGGAAAATAAAGCTTTAAATGTTCCTGACCATTTTTTACCATCCAAACTCACTAGAACACATTGTATAGGTATATGAAAAATTTGAAGAGCATCGCTGTCAAAAGCTAAGTTCTCCTTCAATTTAGCTCTTTTTGTATGGTCTACGGGTAAGGACAAAACTAACTGTTTTTGCTAAACGCTTACTGTTTTTTATTCATAAAATTTGAAAGTCTCAATGAAAGCAAAGCTATGTCCAATCACAGCTAGGTATTTTTATTTTGAGACTGCACATCCCAACTTCTCCCACTTTTTCAGCCGAATTATTTTTTTTTTTGGGCTAGATTTTGGTTGGTGCAGTAATGCTGATGGTTATTTTTAGAAGACTATGATAGTGAAACCTAAAGTTTCCAATGATATTTTATCAGCATAGTAAACTCAACCACGACTTCAATCATAAATAATTCCATTTAGCAAAATCAAGCTGAAAGGCACAAGTAAGGGTTCATGAAAGTTGAAGTCATAGCTCAACATTATAGGGTAGGTTCAAGTAACTTTTAACGTGTTTTAGACTTTTTTTTCTTACCGTAGACCCTGAAAAACCACTTAAATTCAAGGAAAATAAAGCCTTAAATGTTCATACCCATTTTTAAATGTCAGAACTCACTAGACCACATTATATTCATGATAAATTTGAAGAATATCGCTGTGAAAAGTTGAGTTTTCCGTAGATTTAGCACTTTCCGTATGGTCTTTAAGGTAATGACAAAAAGTGCTAAATTGAAGGAGAACTCAACTTTTGACAGCGATATTCTTTAAATTCATCATGAATATAATGTGGTCTAGAGAGTTCTGACAGTTAAAAAATGGTTATGAACATTGAAAACTTTTAGTTCGATGAATTGAAGTTGTCCCTTAGGGTCCATTAGCGCTAAGGAAAAAAATTCTAAAACTTGTTTGAACCAACCCTATAATATTCTCCCACAGGATTCACTTTCAGACAGTAATAATTAATCAACATAAACATCAACCATTACTGATAAATCATCAAAGATCCTATTGGGCGAAATTCAGCCAAAAAGCACCAGTTTGGAGTCTTGACATTTTGGCCACCGTTGGTTGCTTATTTACGCTATTAAACTGTGACTCGATGATAAAGAATGCCATAGGGCGACATTCCGCCGAAAGGCACCTGTGTGGGTTCTTTACATTATGGTCACAGTTGATTGCTAAACGCTACCAAACCATGGCTAAATGATCAGAAATTCCATTTGGCGACACATGTTAACACTCTTTGAACATCTGAGGTATGAGTTCTGGAAATTTTGGCTATACTTGGTTGCTAAACGCTACTTAACAGTAAATGTTCAACAGTGACCTGATGATAAAGAATGCCATAGGGCGACATTCCGCCGAAAGGCACCTGTGTGGGTTCTTTACATTATGGTCACAGTTGATTGCTAAACGCTACCAAACCATGGCTAAATGATCAGAAATTCCATTTGGCATAATGGAGATGTTGCATGTGTGAGGAATTTGCGATTTGACTGTTGAATCTTGGGTAAAAGGTCACGAGAAACACGATGGTGCCACTGGTTTTCTCTGAAATCATCTCCCAAGCTCAAAAAAAAGCACTCAAGTTGAGGCCAAAATGAAGGGAATATCCCACCCTACCCTGAGAGTCCAAGTCTAGATCAAGACCAACTTTCCATGCAAAGATAGGGAGCTAATACATTGACAGGGCTACCAATTTATCTGGGGACTCCAAAACTGAAAACACGGCAACCCTGCTAATGTATTTGCTCCCTATCTTTGCATGGAGAGTTTGTCTTCATGTAGACGTGGACTCTCAGGGTAAGGTGGGATATCCCCTCCATTTTGGCCTCAACTTGAGAGCTTTTTTTGAGCTTGGGAGATGATTTCAGAGAAAACCAGTGGCACCATTGTGTTCCTCGCAAACTTTTATACAAGAATCAACAGTTAAATTGCAAATTCCTCGCACATGTAACATCTCCATTGGGCCAAAATGCACCGATATCAATACCTCATATGTTACTTGGTTCCTCGAAAATTCTCCTCTTGGACTTAGCCTAAAAGTGTGGACACTTTTTAGTCTCCGGCGAAACCTAGAGTCTATACGGCTTCGCCGCACGACTAAAAAGGAGAAGCTCACTTTACAGAAGAACTTACTAAATTCAGGAACTTGTAGTTCTAAAATTGTTTGGTGAGTACGTTGCAGACAATTAGCAGTCTTCAGCACTTTGCAAGCGGTTTACATGTATTTTCTATAAACCCCAATGAAGCGAATCAGCCTAATGAAGATTCTGATGGGTTAAGGCCTCAAAAGCATGAATCCGTTTTGGAGCGCCTTCAGTTTTGTAAAACTTTATGCTTTGTTACTGAGTTAGTTCAATAGCCTATCCAATCTAAACCCAAATAAGGTCACGGATTTCACGACGCGCTCTCATGAGTTTGCCAGTTCCTACCACGTTTTTCAGGAGGAAAAAATGTGTATTGATATTAAAAACAAAATAATCAGTACTGTAATCTTATTCCTATAATCTATTTATTCCTATCAATTTACTTATTTCACTTGATATCTTTACTTATGGCTTGCAATTGCATTGATTGGTGACAGTAAAAATAAAAAAACAACTGGATTAGTTTGTGACGTTAGTAAATTGATTAAAGTATTTATGTACAATGTGGAGAACACAAAAAATTGACAGACCAGTTGACAGAAAGAAGAAGGCATCTGCTTGTAGAAGAGAACATTCTACTTTCTTCCCCAAGCACGTAAGATTGCAAGAGCTTTGTTGAGAATATCACACCACTCGATTCTCTCTTCTTTTGTATCTGCGGACAGCAAATGTCGGACAAGGGTGTGAGTGGGGTACCTCACAAGTGCAAGGGAATCTGTGTCATCCTCTTCAGTTGGCCTGATAGTTTCCAATAAAAATGTATTTGGTCTTGCGCAAATGTCCCTGCTAACAACATTGACCGTATTTGTGGTGCAAGAGTTTAAGTCAATTGTATCAATTGGTACCTAAAACAAGAAGTTAATATAACTTGTTCTATAAATATGTAAGACAGAACTTGGATGCTTTATGGTAGCCGGACACATACATAACAAGGACAAAAAGACAAAATTCATTGGGAAACAAGGCTATGGGACGTTTCGACTTGGTTTCCAAGGCCTAAACGAACAAACCCCCCCCCCCCCNCAACTGAAAAACTAAAACATTTTAAAAAATAAAGCAAACAAATTAAATCATGAAAACCTGTTAGTGATCAAGATGATCAAGTACATAAGAGATAAAATCGATGACCAGAAAACGTCCGTCAACTGTTGGTTAGTGCCACTAATTGCCACAGATGGCAAAACCTCACGGCAAAAACTAAGAATGCATAGTCTCCATTCACAAATTCAACAACCAGTCGGGTAGTACTGCCACTTTGCCACCGATGGCAGTACCTCACAGAAAGATCGAAATAAGCAAATGAAGCTTCCTTACGATGAATTTCCCATTGAAATGTAATGTTACAATAACAACCCAACTCAAAAAACTGAAAGTTCCATTTTATTGTGGAAATGGTAAAACTTCCTATTACTGTTACGATTTTCCTCTTTTTATTTTAAATTTTTGCTTCATTCATTCATTTAAGAGTTTCGAGCATAGTGTCTAGAATTTTTGACAGAGCTCATTCCCTAATTTTTCCCTCACTTTCAACTCATTCGAAAAGCATTCTCGATGTTTATATTATCTGGTCAATGAAAGCTTCATTTGGAGATTCAAATAAGTCTTTCAAGAATAACCCTTAATAACAATAGATATTTAAAATTTCTACAAAATTTGAAAACGAAACGGCTCAAAGCAGTGGAAGAAAAGATTCCTCATTTCTGGAGCAGATTCCCTGATTTTTCCCTGAACTTTTCCATTCCCTTATGAACCCTGGGTTTCCCTGGTTATTCCCGGTTTTAGACGCCATGGTTTCAGAAGCTCGTAGTAATTTTTATGGCCTCACCTTCATCCACTCAATAACGACCTAATATGGACCCCCAAATTCCTCTAAAACATTTTATGGTTTGAGAAAATTTAAACAACATGTTGTATTTTAACAAAAAACTTTTCTCTCACTTCTCTGAAAAGTTTGATAAAACCAAGATTCACAAAACCTGCTGTTAAATTATAACGGAATCGGGAGGATTTTTACAGGGTTGCCACAAAAATTTGGAAATGATTTTCCCTGACTTTTCCAGGTTCTCCCTGACGAAAAATGGAGAAATTCCCTGACCTTTGAGAACGCGGGCCATGATCGCACAGCCAAATTTACACCTTGCTAGCTACCATCGCACTAATAGAGCATCCCATTTGGAAACGCGCTTACGCTACGGAGTCAGAAATTAATTGTAGAACATTTGGGAATACAAAAAGGGTTGTTAACTTTTTCTTTTAATTTTGATGCTTTTGACTTTCTTGAGCAACCCAATAATTGTTTTAGAAATGAAAATTTTTGAACGATTGTTCTTTTGAAGAAACACTCTAAAAAAATGGTCTTCCCTGGTGTTCGTTTCTCTATTTATCTCTCCCTTCCCAGGATTTTTCAAAAACCTATTTTTAAAGTGAGCTTCAAATGGTTTATTTTTTCAAGAACTTTGATGCTTTGCGTTTGCAATAATCCTAGACACTCAAATTACTTTAAAGAAGAAAATAAAACGGTTAGTGGTTAGTCATCGGTAGTAGTTGAAATTTCAAAAATACACATGGGCGTAGCTAGGTCATTTTGCTGGGGGAGGGCCTGGCCCCCCACCACCGGGGGTCTGGGGGGTATGGAATACCCCCCCAGGTCAGTGGGGGGTCCAGGGAAAATTTTGGAAATTTTAACTCTATTTGAGCGCATCTCGAGGCACTTGTGGCGCTAATCTTCCTTCAATTTCCGCCTGAAAATCACAGTTTTACGCAATTTAAGGTGAAAATACTTTGAAATTGTTACATTCAACAGGTTATTCTATTTAAAGGCATCGTCTCATGGGCCACGGCGACAGAAACTTACCGTAGAAGAAGGTGTTTTTGCAGCATCCAGAATATCTGGGGGGGCCAGATGATACTATTTTCAATTCTGAGGGGGCCAGGCCCCCCCTGGCTCCCCCTTCCTATGCCTCTGAAAATACACACAAAAAATGGGCATTCCACTTTGCGTTGCTTGTTGCGTTGGCGACCAAATACGGCTGCATAATTTAACTCTTGAATGCATCGCGAGATATGCCACTTCATCGCAATTTATATTGCGTTCAAAACCGAAAAAAGAAAGATTTTAAGCAACTCGTGAAAATTGTCAATTTTTCCCTGACTTTTAGCTGTTTTGGGTCAAATTCCCTGACGATTCCAGGTTTTCCAGAGCACTTTTTTCCCCCTGACTTTTCCAGGTTTTCCCTGAATTCCCTGACCGTGGCAACCCTGTTTTTACCAAAAATTTCCCTAGACTTATTTTAAGGTGTAAAAAAAAGGAAGAAAAAAAATTGCCCCAAATAGAAGGAAAGAACCAAAAAGCGATTTGAGCTTCATAAATTCCTCAAATGAACCTGAAATCACCATGTCGGTCGAGCTCTACTTGCTCTGTCTCAGTCAAATTTGTCCTTCAATCATGAGTTCTAAAACAAGCAAAACTTTCATGGACCTTGCCGTACCTTATTCCAACAAAATTAAATGCCTTTCAATAAGAGCGCGAACAAAAATAGTTTCCCAACATAAATATGGATAGTCACTTTCGTGTTAACAGAAACTCTCTCATCAAGGAATGTGCATGAGCACTCTCAGCATAAACACTTAATTTCGTCAGAATAAAGAACAAAAAGGTCCATGCCAGTTGCGCTTGCAGCAGAAATCATGCTTGAGGGACAGATTTGACTGATATCAGAGCGAGCAAGGCTAGATTGATACTACGTGTTACATGTACTTTATACATTTATAAGTGTATAAAGCTCAAATCGGTTTTTTGGTTTTTTCACCTTCAGTTTTCGTTCAGAACATACTTTTTTAATACTTCAGAATAAGTTTTTGGACATTTTTAGTGAATATCTTACTGAGTCTCTTAAAATTCAACAAAGGACAACGGTCCAACCCTATGGGAAAGTTGACCCGGTGAAATCAGCTGGTTTCTTGATATGTTGCAGGTCTTAACCTACTGATCAAAAGTGTCAATGGGCGTTTCTTCCTATCTCGAAGTTTTACCCTCCATTTTGGGGGTCAAAGTTCACAATTCAGCGTGTGCTTTGCTGCAGGTTCATTCGTCGCATTTGAGATTCTCTACCTGTCATTGTATAGGCGGGAGAAGGGGGGAAAAGGACGGCACACAGAGAATAACGCCAGTAAAATCGGCTTTTCATACTAACAAACTTTATTCACAAAACAGATACGTATATACAGGTAATTGTCCTCGGTCAACGCTCGCAGGCGAGGTGCATTCGGCAATATTGAAGAGTAAACATTAAACATAGAAAGGTCGTTCAACACTTATCAGTTGTTGCCATATTTCATGACACCCCGACTTAATGTTTGCGCTTTAATTGTACTAAGCCTAGTTTCTCTCTCAAAAAACAAAAATGTACCCTGGGTAGGCCTTTGGTTAAAATACCAGCTAACTGTTTTTTACTCTCAACGTACTCAAGAGAAATTCTTCCTTTCTTCCATGAATCTGAAATATAGTTATATTTTATGTCCATATGTTTGACTCGTTTATTATTTGAAGGATTCTTAATAATATTTATACACCCTTGATTGTTTTCATGCACTCTGATTGACTCTGATTTGAAAATCTGCCAACAGTTTTTCCAACCCAATCCCTTCCTGGATCGAACTGCAAAGGGATATTAATTCAGCCTCAGTACTCGATGGGGCAACAAAATTTTGTTTTCTCGTACTCCTCCAAGACACTGTGTTCCCAAATACTTGAAATAGGTTTCCTGAAACAGATTTTCTGTCATTTATATCTCCCCCCAGTCAGAGTCCACGAAGCAATCAAGTACCTGGTCTTTACTATGATTTTGATAAATTAATTCCAGGTTCATTGTTTCCTTTAAATAACTCAGAACTCGTTTTAAATAAGCCAAAAGTTCATGCGTAGCTTTATCTTGAAATCTACTAAAGTTATTTATGACAAAACTTAAATCCGGGCGTGTTCCCAACATTAAATACATAATACGTCCTACCATTTCCCTCACCTCTTTTACAATAACATTGGATTCTGGTCGGGCTGATAAATCTAGTTTCAATTGTTCATCTATTGGAGTAAAAATTGGTTTACATTCTGACATATTATACTTTTTTCAACACCTTTAAGATATCCTCTTTTGGACTCAATTTGATTTTTTGTTGTTTAGGATCAATCTCGATTTCTAATCCGAGAAAATGTTTCAATGTTCCTAAATCTACAATATCAAATTTCTTGATTAGCTCAGATTTATATCTTTTAATTAGTTCATGGCGAGGAGCACTTATAATTATGTCAACAACAAAAATCAAAATAAAAATCAATCCTTCCCCACATTCTTTTGTGTATTAACAGTAATCGTTTTCAGATTGGATAAAACCTAGTTTCATTAAAAACTCATTGAATTCTGAATTCCAGACCTTTGCTGATTGTCTTAGTCCATATAATGCCTTATTCAATTTTAATGCAAATCCACTCCTACATTTTACACCTTCAGGGGGGTAAATGTACACATTTTCATTCAATTTTCCGTTCAGGAAGGCAGTTTTTACATCTAATTGAGCAAATTCATAACCATACTGGTTTCTTACGGCTAAAAGGGTTCGTATGGTAGCCATTGAAGCAACAGGAGAATATATTTCTTCATAGCAAAAACTGTCTTTTTGAACCCCGAGCTACTAAGTGACTTTAGTATTTTTCTTCTGCATGAGGTTTATATGTAAAGACCCATTTTGTATCAATGATCTCGGCATTACTGGGTTTCGGCACCTCAGTCCAGACTTTCTTTTTGTTGATTGATTCTAACTCCTGATTCACTGCCTGATACCATTCTTT